GTGGTTGCCGAGCAACACACAGAAGTAAACAAAGGTATATGTTTGTAGTGTAATTTACAACAGCTTCGAACGTGGCTCAGCCAATCAGAATCAAGGACCGGAACTATCCGTTTTATAATTGGCAACATTCGTCAGCAGACTTTTATTTAGAAGTAATTTTTTTTAACTTTTAATTTTAAGTAAAAAAAAAAAAAACTTTTATTTATTTGTTATTTTATTTTGTTTTGATTATATTTTATAATTTTGTTTTTATTTTTGTTATTTATTTATTTATTTATTTATTTTCCTCATTCTCACAGTGTTGTTATATTGTTATTAACTAAAACTATTAGTTTGAAATAAATAAAATAAATAAATAAAAAAATAATCGGATGAAAAAATTTATATTAGAAATGTTAGAAATGCTTCCTTGAAAACTAACAGAAGTAAACAAAGGTATATGTTTGTAGTGTAATTTACAACAGCTTCGAACGTGGCTCAGCCAATCAGAATCAAGGACCGGAACTATCCGTTTTATAATTGGCAACATTCGTCAGCAGACTTTTATTTAGAAGTAATTTTTTAAAACTTTTAATTTTAAGTAAAAAAAAAACAAAACTTTTATTTATTTGTTATTTTATTTTGTTTTGATTATATTTTATAATTTTGTTTTTATTTTTGTTATTTATTTATTTATTTATTTATTTTCCTCATTCTCACAGTGTTGTTATATTGTTATTAACTAAAACTATTAGTTTGAAATAAATAAAATAAATAAATCAAAAAATAATCGGATGAAAAAATTAATATTAGAAATGTTAGAAATGCTTCCTTGAAAACTAGCTAAAATGATTTTACATTGAAGTACTAATATTACTAAAAAATATAAAACCATATTATTAATGATTTAATAATATTTTAAATATTTTATCAAAAATGTAATAAAATTCATAATAATAATAATAAATACTATAATAGTATATGAATAATACTAAAATAGCGTTGCTCTCTCCCTGCTCTTTTCTGTCTTTCCTATATAAAAAAAGCCAAAAAGCTCATACATTTTTTTTAAAATAACAAAAAATTTTACTTCATATTTATTAAGGAATTAGTAATTTCTTCTTTTGTCTTGCATTCAAAAGCATCATTGTTAATCTATTTGGTTTTCTCATTCTTTGTAAAATATCTTACTAGTTTACATTTTCACTTTGTGATTCATTTTTCCTTCCTCCCTTTTATCATATCTGTTGTCCCAAAATAAACCCTAAGCCAAGTTGTCCCGAGTCCCGAGGCCAAATATTTTGTCATTTTTTTCCTTGCGGTTAGGACCTGCATTCTCAGGGTGAGGTGATTGCGTGTCTGGAGAGGGCTCTGGTCCGGGAAGCAGAGCAGCAGGATAAGGCTCATCAAATCAAGGATGCCTGCAAAAAGTCCATCATGAGAGTGGCTGAACTATCAGCAGACGACTTCCACCTCGACCGCTACCTCTACTTCTCCTGCCGAGACGACCGGGAGCGCTTTTGTGAAAATGTATGTCAGCTTCTCTTACAGTTTCCTCTCATCCATCACGATAACTGCAGCCTAATTTGCATACTTCTACTACTTACTACAAGTATACAGAGGTGGGGGCAAGTCACACATGTTCAAGTCTCAAGCAAGTCTCAAGACCCTACCATCAAGTCTCAAGCAAGTCTCAAGTCACATTCTGCAAGTATATACTTTACTGGAAGGGGCGGGTTGGTATGATTGACAGCTGCCTCTCATGTGCTGTGAGTCAGAATGACAGGATTAGACCGCACAGCTGCTTTGTGTAGGAGGAGCCGTGGGCCGATGTGTTGATGTGCAAACATGAAGCATCCAATATCTCCCGATTGACCTGAATTGATCTGTCAATGCTTAAAGGGGTCATATGATGCTTTTTTAAAGATCATTATTTTGTGTATTTGGTGTAACAGAATATGTTGACATGCTTTAATGTTCAAAAAACACATTATTTTTCAAATACTGTACATTATTGTAGGTCCTCTATGCCCCGCCTCTCTCAAACGCTTCGTTTTCTACAAAGCCCCCTCCTT